GTTATATAACAGACATTGGTGAATACATTCACGCATTACATATAGACCGGAAAAATATGAATATTTTCAAACAGAGAATAATGAATGCAATTATTATCTTTCTTTGAGCAGTACAAAATGATACTAAATATATTTTTTTCTGTCATATTTTCTACTTATAAGCCAGGCCGACCGGATCCGGTTCAGCAGTTTGACCGGAACCGTTCGGTTGATAAGTCTCGACCGGACCTGTTGCATCTCTGACTGGAGTACCAAGGGTATTACTTCAAGTATCAGACTTCGGCCTTCATTTTACATACTGCATACTTAGAATTTAGCATGAAGTAACGGCCCTAGACAGCTATCATATTTCACAAACTGACATTCGGTGCGTAGTCTTTGTCACGCTTGAAGGATTTTGTTAAAGATCTTAACGGTTAGAAATAATTGCATCAGAGTGATTGTAGTATATATACCGCAAGCCAAAATCAAGTTTAGAATTATGAAGCAATAAGTGTAGAAGTAATTAGCATTTGAATTATATGATAATGAAAATACTAGAGACCAGCTGTGTTCTATAATGACTGGAAAGAGGTCTGAGTGGAACAGCAGCTAAAGATTTTAAATGCAGAAAGGATTCTGTTCAGGAATGTAGATTATATTTGTATTCTGTAAGACATCTGTGATGACGAATGTGAAATTGTCATACTACAAGAAACAAAACTATTCCGATCATTCATCCACAGTTGAGGGAGATTCTAATCTGTTCCTTACATCTGTACAATACAACGCTACTCTCTAAAAAAAGACAAGGTGCCATGCAGAACATTTTAAGGGGCCATGCCCTAGTGAATGTACTCCAGTGCGAGTACTCAGATGCGTACTCATGCTGAAAAATGCGAGGAATACACATGAGTACTCACATTTTTTTACTCATTGAGTACTCAGATGAGTAATCAGTATTGTGGGTATGACTTTGAGTACTCATGCTTGAGTATTGTTGAATACTCATACGAATTTTGGCAAAATACTCCTGCTCGTCTGGTATTTTTATATAGAGGAGTGATCTCAGGCAGCCAGAGTTGAACCACAAGTCTAGTCATACATGAGTCCATCTTTGACTATGTACCAGCGAGAAAAAAATAATATTCTATGTTTCTTTACTAAATGTTATGTTCTTTATACAGTTTCAGTTTAGCAAAATAAAATGGTGAATGAATATTTTCTGAGTACTCACATGAATAACTGAGCGCTCACAGAGTAACAATACTCAAAAATTGTTAGCAGAACTCATATGAGTACCCATGGACGAATTATGAGGAAAGTCGTACTCATAGTATGAGTACTGTCACCAGGGTAGAAACTGGATTCATTTCTGAACCTTTGAAGGGTTCGACAGGAGAAAACGTTCTGTGTGGAACTATCTTAGTGCTATAGCGAAATTTCTTTTATTTTTATTTTTTCTAAGCCAGCTTACCATCCCAGCAGTTCGGATGAGCTTTCAGTATAAAAGTACGGACCAAAAACAGCTGACTTTGATTTATGGTCCAATTCTTTTACTTTTGGCATGCTTGAAAGCGGATATCATATTGCACTCTCATTTTGCTTCACATAGTTGATGAAATACAGAAATAATCGGTGATTATGCTTGATCATTAGAGAAACAACGATCATAGTTCACAGACAGTCGAGAGTTATGATGGGTACAGTTGCATTACGAGAAGAGAGAAAGAATGAAGCTGACTCGAAAGACAAAACTGTGCGAAAATAAGAAGTTTTTATGATGAAGACCAATGAGTCTCGTATTGTTCCGTTCAGTCAATTTAAAGTAAAATCGAGTAGAACTTGTCCGACTTCTCTCGATGCTTCATGCTTATATGTTGGAAGTATATATTTGTGTGCCTTTTTCTTTCGCTGTTCTCTTTCTTCGTCATTTTACTTCATACTGAAAAGCATAGCATAACATTTTGAAAAAAGCTTCCCGTACAATAGCTTCCAATCGTTCATCTACATCTGACTAATCGACTAATCTTTTCCTCACATAGGTACGATCAGAAACAACTGAGAACGAGCAACTGACTCAAGAAAGAGGAGTTTGTAGAAAGAACCTCTTCTGCTGAAGAAGAATAAGTCACCTAAGATTTCACTCAGTTGTGCTGATTAGAATGTCATCGTATGGCACACAAGTTGCAAATGCGGTGTGTAAGCTATGTATCTGTAAAAAATGTTTTCTAATATCTGAATGATAAAACGGCTGTAGCCTTCTGTAATCAACCCGCATTTAAGGGAGAATGAAAACGATGACTCATCTGTGAGAAACATATCGTTTTTCCTTTGCATCTATAAGCTGTCTTGTATAACTATCGCGCTGTTACATCACGACTAACTACTACAGGGTTTCCGGTGGTCCTTAGGGATGGGAGGGGCTGAAAATTTTGCTTCGCAGAAAATGACTGGCGAAAAAAAGTTTTCGAAATTTTTTACAGAAAGTTAATGGTGGAAAAAAGATTTTGCCAGTCTAAAAATCTTTTCAGAGAGAGATCAGCACATCCTGTCTCCCCTGAGCGGGAACCCTGAACTGCTATATGCATCGATAATACTCGCATTTATTGAGTAGAAATGTACTCATTTATGTGATCTCAATTACTCATGTACGTAATGAGTCATTCGAAATGTGAGGATCGTTTCATCAATATTCTTAGGTTTATGAGCGCAGACATTGATTTAAGTCGGCGTATAGTTCGTTCTAGTGTGTGCTGTTTTTCAGAATTGCGTTAGGACAGAGCTAGAGATCTGGTCAATGCTTAACTTAAGATCACATTTCTGAAGTTTCCTTCGCAAGTTGAGACGCGTATTTAAGTAGGCTTAAAATAAGTCAAGACTGAAGTGCTCATTTAAGTTCAAGAGTTACTGAAGACTGTTGACGAGACGCATCATTAGCTTGTCAGAGCGAGAGCTGTACATACTATTTCATGTTAATCCCTCACCAATCCGTTCAACGAATTATACCATGAAAAAGAAGAATAACATGTTTCTTTGAAAGCTTATCCAACTTTCTGGTCTTCTAACAAACAACAGAAATATGTTTGAAAAGCGAACTTTTACCTTCGAAAAAGGGAATAGTTTTAGTATCAGTATATTTTAAGTCAAATAGTTTTGAAACGACTAAAATCTCCTCATTAAAAGTAGTCTACTATTATGATCTAACGGGTGTACCAAAAAGAATGATGTAACTTTCATTTTCAGTTTTTCTCCTCTCCCTTTGCACTCACAGAGCTCATCTTATTACTGAAACATTCCCCATTCATTTCTCTACAAAACGGTGTATAGAATCCTAATGATCCTAAGGTTTGAGACTCTGTCTTAATTGAACAAACACGGAAATGTCCTAAACACTTAAAAATTTAACATAAAAAAGTGTATTTCGACAGTATGAAGTTGAACGTATGCGCTGTGTCCAGAGCAAGTAGGCCAAAATGTAGCCCTTCAAATTCTCCACCGATTAGCTGTAATGCGGATTTTCTATCGTTATTTCCGTATTTTCAGTAATGTAAAGCCCTATGACCATTTTTTCAGATTTTTCTAACTGCTCCTTGGGGCTATTTGTAAAATGAACATTGCTCAGACAAGACTGAACCAATTCGGCTCATTCTTGCGTCATTTTGAAGACAAATGTTTGCTTTACTCGACTCACGTACGAAACGCTTGATGTAACTTTTCTGAATAATAGGGATGCTGAAACTAGTGCGTTTTGGTCAGTAATTGCTGCTAGTTATTAACTAGTCATTTTTGCCACATCATACTGATGGGGAGGAAATGAGTCTTGGGTCCACGCATGGGCGAGTCAGAGTCCAAACTGGAAGATTTTTTGAAGCACTCAGACTCGGATTTGAGTTTTTGTATTTCGAGTCCGATCTGTTCAACTTTTAACACAAATGAACACAGAAAAATGAAAAACGAAATAAAAACACCTTCTGTTTCACAAGAAATTGAAAATTTTGTTCGGAAGACGGACATGCAAAGTAACTTTATTTTCGAAAAACCAAATATCTATCCAGGGCTTAGTAAATTAAAGAAGAGAAATAAACCACCTTCACCAAAAAGAATCTAAAAGATTACCGGACTCGAAATGGATTCGGTCCTTAATGTTAGGAACTCGAACTCGCCCATGCCTGCTTGGGCCATCTGAAAGAGGACATCAGAACGCCCTAGAAAATGATGTACTATCTTCTTCCTATCACTTTCAAAATTATCGTCGGAAAAAATTTTAATTTTTTAAGTGTTTAGGACATTTCGATGTTCGTTCAATTAAGACAGCGTCTCAAACCTTAGGATCATCTTCTATACACCATTTTGTAGAGAAATGAATGAGCAATGTTTCGGTAATGAGATAAGTTTTTTGAGTGCAAAGGGAGAGGAGAAAAACTGAGAATGAAAATTACATCATTCTTTTACTAAAAAAATGTGATTACGTTTTTCAATTTTTTTCTCATTACGCGTGAATTTTTTATTAAATAAAGAAAAATTCGAATTTTGACAATGGTTTACACAGTCAGTACAAGTGATTCACACAATTTCAAGAACAGGCAAATTATTCAAATAAGCCTTTTGTGATGCTTAAAAAGAATCTACTTACTTCCGAATAATATAAATTTGGATGACTGTATACAGTCGTCCAAATTTATATATTTGTATCATTTAGAAAAATCTCACAATAATAACATCTGCGTAGATTTTAAGGGATATTGATGATCCATTTGTTGATATCGTTCACTATGCTGATTCATAACTTTTTTAGTATTGAGATGGTTTGAAAATTTGCCGCTTAGAAAATATGGAAATCTATGGAAAAATAAACAAATTTAATATGTCAGTGCACAAAATATGGATTTATAAGGATCTCTGTCGTATCAATAAGCAAAGAATTGATGATCTTTGATCAAGTCGTGTGTCAGGTTAACCGGACTGCTAAATTGTTTTCTCTTTAACGCTCAGTTTTTCAAAATGCTCAAGATTAGTTAATGAAATTTAACGGTAAAATTTTCTCATTAAAATTAGTATTAAACATCAATCAAGTATTATCGAGAAATATTCAAGTATACTATCTTTTTTTCAAGTATATATAGAAAATATTGAAATCTGCACTTTATTAATTTGAAATCGATTTATGTTACTTAGAAGTAGAGTTTCTTCTTTCTGATTGTTGTATTTATAGTTTATACAAAAAATAAAATCTGGATTGTATCTTCATTTTATGTGATCATTAATATAATAAAAACAATTTAGACCTTTTTATACTATTTATGTCGTTCCTTTACTATGTACGCACCATCGATCATCATGTCAATAAGAACATTTATTTTCTGATGAGTCGATCGATGACACATCGTACTGTTTAAAAAGAAGGTGAAAAAACCTAATGCTAAAGGATTCTTTTCGTTCTATATTTTGGGTGTTGTTCTGTGTCTAATATAAGAATAAATACTCAGATTTTTCGTTGATTATCATTTATCATCAGTTAGTTTCGATAAAATGAATTTATGATAAATTATAGAATAAAGTAAGTTAGATACAATTTTAAATATTGAATTCTTTTATTTAATCATTATTGTATTAAAACGGTTGTTAGAAATAATGATCTTTAAATTACTAAAGTGGAATCATCTGAAGAAGTGCTAAAAATTGAATAAACATCGTGATCCAAAATATCCTATAAACCGCAAAAATACGCTCAATTTATCAAATCTGTAAAGTGTAATAGACTTATCATCATATGATAAGTTAGATCTAGAGGAAAACAACGATTTCTTATGGATTCTAAAAATAGCAGATTTAACAAAATCTTTAGTTATTTGAATTAAAAAATACCTGATGTTAATGAACTTTTATTTTATTTCATAAAATAAAATTCCATTTTTGTTTTCAGATATGTTTACATTAAACTCATTTCGTTTCATTGTGATATTATTTTTTGTTCTAACGAACATACAATGTCAAGAAATATCTATCTTTAATGAACCGCTTTCATTTATTAATCTTCTTCCAAAGATTATTTCAAATGTTCGTTATATAGAAGAAGAACTTATTTATTCGAACAATATTTATTCAACATTTCCTAATTTAACTTTGGATCTTACGTCATCATCTTACGGTAATTTAACTCAATGTAGACAAGATGTAAATCTTTTAACACGTGACTTTCTTACATTGAAACGATGGGCATTAAAAAGTAAGTTTATTTAGTGTACATTATCTTTCTCTTATTGTAACTAATCTTTTTTTTTCTACAGCAATGGATGCTTGGGGAAAAGTACCTAGTGGAGTGTTATTTGGTGATTTGTATTGGATTGGATCCTCATATGAGTGTAGCCATCATCTGTCTCAATTTAATAGAAGTATAATTGAACAACCATTTTACACAAAACAATGTATTATTGGATTGCGTACAGAACTAAGTGGTGGATATTCACTGGTACTTTTTATACTAAGGTACCATCCAATTCTATTTCTCTTAAATTACTTCTAGGCTATGGCTCCATTATACGGTGTATGTGTACCAGAATCTTGTAATTCAACGGATGTAATCGAACTCATCAATAATCGTACGTCATTTTTATTGGTTAAATTTTATACTATGCCTTTTTCATTGATTTAGGACTTATAATTGTACCTACACGTTTTAAATTATCAAATGATAGTATTCATTGTATTGAGAAACGAAGTCTCAGTCCAGTAGCTATCTTGACAATGTAAGTGAAAATATTTTCTCCTTGATTTTTGTTTGTTTTTTGTTTTGTTCACATTATTCTCTTTATTTTAGAATATTGCTTTGCTGTTTATTTCTATTAATTCTTCTGGCAACAGGCATGCATATTTTCTATGGACGTCATGTAATTAAAATTAATCAACCACCAGTAATAGAAACATCAGCAACAGTGCATACTGATATAGAAGATGAAAATTATGAAGAAGAAAATGAACGATCAATTAATACAACAAATCCGAATGAAGTAACACCTTTAATAATTCGTCGTACAAATCATTCATCTGTTGATTCAGGTAACATGCCTAAAAATTTATTCAATCTAATATTGAAAATAACTTTTATTCATGTAGCTGCTCAAAATTTAATTGAAAGATGTTCATTGGTCAATAATTATAATGATCTATTACATAAAACATCACCAGCAAATTTAGCTTGTTTGAATGGCATACGAGTTTTATCCATGTTTTGGATCATTCTTGGTCATACAATATTATTTGGCGCTTTTTATTCAAGTATGTGTGAACGAGAAAAAAGTTTTTTTTTTTGTTTGTTTTTTTGACTCTGTAAGTGGTAAACTATTCATTCATTCAAGACCCGTGTAATATCCTATCATCGGTAAGTAGTTCAAAATAATTGCTCAAATTGCTAAAAAAATTCGCGTGTGTAATTTAATGCTGATATGATGGCTCCAATTGAGTTTATGTTTTTAGATAATCTTATGACAGTATTCAATTGGTCAAAAGAATTCTGGTTTCAAATAATTATTAATGCCTATTTTTCCATTGATTCATTTTTCTTGATCAGGTCTAATAATTTTATTCTTTTTGATAAAGAAGATTTGAGATTACTTTTGATTTTTTTTGTAGTGGTATTTTGGCAGCATATATATTTTTTCGCCACAAAAATGATACTAATCAACCATCGATTGTAAAATTTATGATTAATCATTATATTTATAGATACTTGAGGTAGATTTGACGGAAAGTATAAAAAACGTCAAGATAATATTTGTTTTCATTTTTAAAGACTTACACCACTCTATCTTCTTATTTTACTTATATCCATTACGTTATCGCCATATTTGGGACAGAGTGGACCACTATTTCCTCCAAATGGCATTGAATCGAATTATTGTCGACGAAATTGGTGGAGAAATTTACTTTATATCAATAATTTTGGTGACGTAACAAAATCATGCCTTCCTGTTAGTTGGTTCCTCGCTGTTAGTATGCAGTTACATTGGATATCACCATTATTTCTTCTTACAGTTGCATGGTACGTATACATAAAGATACATTTATCATATAAGTATTCGATTATTTTCCTTGCTCTACTTGCTTAATAAAACAGGAAGTGGTTTGTTGGTATACTGGTTGCACTGGCATTTATTTTTGTTGATATAATTTCTACAAGTGTTATCATATCAAGAAATCCAGCGTACGAATATGGTACACTGGCTGGTCTTTTTTTAAATAAGTTCGTATGATTTACTCATAGTTTTTGATTGGTTTCTTCACATTTTCTTATTTTAGCGCCAATCATTCAAACAGCACTAGTTATTTCGAAGATGTTTATATTAAACCTTGGTGTCGTGTTGCACCTTATGGTAGATAGAATAAATCAAATCTTTTCATAAATGAATTTGTTTTCTTCTTTTTTTTTCAGCTGTTGGATTGATAGTTGGATACATGCTATATACAATGAATCAACGTAAAATATCGTCTTGGGATTTTTCTTCTGTTCAATCGCGATTAGTACAAGAAACAGAAAAACGATATCGTTCAAGGCAAATTTTCTTATGGATTTTTGCATTGGTTATACTATTATTGTGCTTATTCGGTACATATGGTGATTATGCACATTCAACATCTTTTAAACCATTAACTAGAAGTGGACGTATTAGTTTTTTGGTGTTATCTCGTTTGGCATGGGCCATTGGCCTATCAGTCCTCATCCTGGCCTGTTTTACCGGCCATGGAGGTATATAAGATAAAAATCTTCTTTTTCATGAATATCTATTGTGTACTTTCGTTTTAAGGAATAATAGATCGTTTTTTGAGTTGTTCAGTAATTCAAAAATTATCAAAACTCACATATGGTAAAATAAACTCCAAACTATTGATTCTCTAAAAAAATTAGATGTCCGTTTATATTTAGGCGCTTATTTGTGGCATCCATTAGTGATTGCCGTTAGTATTTTGGGACGAGATTTACCACTACATTACTCCGGTGCAAATATAGTATGTAGATAATCATTCTGTGTTATTGTTTATCTTACCATATTTTATTCTATTTTTAAGCTGTTCCATCTCATCGCTCATATAATCATATCGTATTGTTTGTCATTGGTCACTTATCTTTTTTTCGAGTTACCTGTCTTACAATTGATGAAATTGGGTCTCAAACGAAATTATGATGCTTTCAATAGATCGCAATAAACGATTTCTGAAACGAAAAATATTTATCTTCAGAACATTTTGTGTTTATATGTCTAATTAATCATCATTCAAAAACTTTATTTTCGTTTTGTTTTTTTTGAACAATATCAAAAACTGTTGTAAACATGTTTTTCTTCTATGTGTATGTTTTTTTGTGTTATTTCACGTAATAATACCAAACATATCTATTTTTGCATTGTCAACTTTTTGTGTTTTTTAAAAAAAAAGACATTCTACATTTCGTTCGTCTCCTTCTAGAAAAAATTCGCCCTAAACAAAACAAACAATTTAACATTCAATTGAAACTTTCACCATTACAATTGACATACATCAGTCAATACAGAGAAGATTAGTGGAAAGTATTTCATATCTATACCCTAGCATATTCATTTTATTACAAATTTGAATACTTATGCGTAATTTAAACACGAAAAGTGGAAAGAAGAACAGAGAACAGTTCTCAAACAGCGAATGAAAGAATAATATCTTTCCTACGAAACAAAGTAAATAAAGAATATAACTACGTGGACACTGTCTATCAAAACCAAAATCAGAAGTACTGTTTCACGCAAAACTATATAGTTAAGAAAAAAGTTTGACTTACATCCGTCCAAGTGTCTCATACAACGAAAAAACACATCAATATCATTCTTGTTAAAATATTAATATCGATCATTTTGTTCTCATATTCATATAAAGAAGAAAGAAAAATTTAATTTTTTAAGCTTAAAAACTCAATTTTGATCGATTGTCTTTGTATGAGTTTACAAGGTGGAAAGAAAGAGATGATATAGCACCGTATTACGTGGGATACATGCAACAGATATCTTAAATGTATAAACTATCAAATAAAATTGATTTAAAATCAAAATTTGTGCACATGAGTAAAAAAAAAACTATCCGTAAATCATTGCTTGATATGAAAAAAATAAAGCATTAGAAAGGAATAAAAAAATCGTGGAAAAATTGTACAAAAAAACAACATATATTGAAATAACAGTCAATGAAAAAAAACAAAAAAGATTTTACTTATTCAAAGATCGTCAGTATCATTCTGAAGATGATAATGATTGTTATTATTATTATTATTATTATTATTGATTATTGATGTGCTATTATTTTTTTGATTATTATTGCTCAAACTATGCATACGATTGCGATTACATTGAATACATAATATATGATCATTTAACGGATAGCAACCTTCATCGGTTGCAAATTGTATTTGGCAATCCTAAAATAAGAAATATTAGTTAATATAAACAAATATTTAATGATATAATTCAAGACAGATGTTCCTACTTCACATCTATAACAGTCAACATGATAACTTCTGTCTAAAGCCACTATTCTTATTGTTTCTTCTTGACCTGGGATTGGCAAAATGGACTGATGACACGCATAACATCTTGGTGCAAATTTTCTAAAATATAATAAAAAAATTAATTAAGGTTTGGCTAGACAAGACGATAATAATGGGACTTTGCTCTCTTTTGACGTGTCTTAGTTATAACTATTTGTTTCATCAATAAATAAATAAAGTTTAAAAAAAAAAAATTCAGGTAGTTGGAAGTCAATTTCTGCTGTTTTCATTACTTGTGAAAGCAATCGATACAATGAATTTGCATTATAGCATCAACCGTAAACGGTATACCATCAAGACTTTTTGCACAACTAACACATTTGAAACATTCAGGATGATATGGTTTTCCAGTTGCGCGTAAAATCTATAAAAGAACAACAACTTATTATGTAACAGTTATTAAAATGGATAATCAAGATCAATCATACTCTATCAGTCACAGGTCTTGAACACGTAATACATTTTTCCAATGAATTCTAAACATTAGATAGAAGTATAATGAAAATTCATTATAAATCTTATTATTTTGAAACATACTATATAACATGATTCACAATATGGCTTATTTTCCATTGCATAAAAATGCATTCCTCTTAAACGACACGCACACATTGAACATGTAAAACAACCAACGTGATACATTCGATCCATCGCAACTAGTCCATTTTCTTGACCAATAATTTCATCATTGCATCTGGCACACATGCCTGATCAATACAAAGTGAAAAGAAAAAATTTTAAAATGATTTTGAATAATGGCAAAAAAAAAGAATTCAAGAACACTATAATTTCTAAAATAATATTCAATCTTAAATTAGATGGATGGTTCTTTCTTCATAATTAAATCTCATTAATCTTTGTGTGACTTCATCGTTGAGAAGTTTTCAAAGTATTTATTTTCAAACCAATTCAATTCGATTGTAATATAATCATTCTTGAACTTTTTTTAATCGATATTATTTGTATGATTTTTACTATTTATTGTAGACATTATCTTCTTTTTCGTGAAGATTTCTTGTCATGCGCACAATAAGGAGATCTAAGTTTGGTACCAATATCGATTATCAAAACTTGTTATTTATATTACACACAAATAAAAAACCCAAAACTAAAAAAATTTCTAAATTGTTTCTCTCCATTAGAGAAAATTTGCACTAAAAATGTTTAGTTTCGATTCGATTGCACTTACCAAAAAAATTTGGTTTATTCGAGACATTCATACTTTTCATAAGTATCTTGGTTAGTTGATCTATTTCTGCTTCTTTTCCCATTGATACGCCTTGCCCACTACTTAATGATGTTGATGGTACTGATTGTGAAAGACTAGATACTGATGATGAACTTGGAGCTAGAAAAAAATTGGAGAAAAAATAAAGCAAAAATCTTGTTGAATTTTGCTCATCATTTTACCTGGTGTTGATGGAGGCAATGTCGATAATGTAAATGAAGATGTAGCGCCGCGTGAAACTGGACGTTGCTGTGATGGCACAGGTGATCGACGGTCTATTATTGATGTGTTAATATTGTTCGTATTATTATTATTACCGTAAGCAAATAAAGGTTTTAAATGATTTGATATTAAATTTGATGTATGCTGATTATTTTGATAATCATTGTTTTCTCTTTGAAAAGGTACCTCAATGTGTCGAAATGCCTAAAATAAGGATCTACTTTTCAAGTTGTTTTATTTTGAAAATAATTGTACGTACTGATGAAGTTCTGCCGTGCACACTAATAGGCTGTTGGAACAAAAAACTTTCTGATTGTTGTTGCGGATAATGATTATGATTAGGTGCACCAACAGAAATATGAAAGCGACCGCCACTTCCACTACTAATAGCCGCTGTTCCATTTCCAATTTGATTTCGATTCAGAATAATTGATGGTGAATCGGGTCTTAATATTCGAATTTCATGAAAACTAGTCGATTTTGGTGATGCTGATACACGAATTTCTGAACGAGTGGGAGAGCCGGCTGCAATTCTAATGAAAGGTGTTTGTGATGAACTGACGCTGATCAAGGCTAAAACAAAAATAAAGATTACATATAGGTCAATAAAATCTATATTAATAAAAAAGGAAAATAATGAATATGAATTAAATAGACATGTATTACAATGTTTTCATCTAAATCATAAAACAAGTCATAATCAATCAGAAAATAAGCTAAAGTTTGTGATACCATATTCATTATTGAGCGACTCATTCTGAATGGAATGTTACTCGCATTTGATCAACTATATCCAAAACACATATGAATGGTTAAATAAACTAACAGTCGTTTCTTCTCTGTGCAATATCATGCTCATCAATACCGTGTATTTTATACACGAAAGTGATCTATGTCTATTAATCATAAAAGATTTATTCTTTCTTCTCTGTGTGTTTTTTTTTTTTTGATAAACGGTATTTTATATACATACAAAAATAAAGATATTGAGTTCCCGATGTGCATGCTGAAAAGTCAATAAAGATATTTGTATATTGATCGTACTTAGGACATATTCTACTTAGCCTTTCTTAACTAGTTCAAGCTTGATGCAATAAATCTAATCTATAGAAGAAAGAGGCAAAATCACTTAGATTTTTCTCATCTCCACAGCAAAAAATAGACCAATACATATTTCTTGTTTACATATTTCATGAGAATATTTTTAATCAAATTATGTTGCTTAACGGCTAGAGTTCTTTTTTCTATCATGTGTATTAATCGTGAACAAAAAAATGGTCAAAAAATTATTTACCACGACTTGTTGGCGTTTTTCTATCTGATGGATGCTGTTGATTCATCGATACTGGAGATGATGATGATTCTAAATCTGATTGATACGAATTCGACAATGATGAACCTACATCATAAAAAGAAAAATTTTTTATGAAATAATTATATTGCCAAAACAATAGAATAAACGTTGAAGCTTCATTAAATATAGTACCGGCACAAATAGCAGCCATTTCAATTACATACATCTCGAATACTACGAGATGACAATTATCTTTTAATAAAAATAAAATATTTATTTTTGTTAGAAAATGAGCACGAACACATTACACTCATCAGAGTTACCACACCAAAAAGAAGTATTTGACTAAGTACATCGAAAATATTAATAGTACTGCCCATCTGAAAATTATTCGCTTTCTACTATTGGGGATAAGAAATCTTATACATAAAACTATCAACATACCAACTTAGAAGACTGCCAATCTAGAACTACTTTTCGATTATGGATAAGAATAGTTTCTTTGCTGACAACAGTTTTATCATGAACAATTCTCAAGGTGTTAAGATCATCAAACTTTGATAGAAGGATAGAAATGACCTCAACGAGTATTATGTTGATTGATTAGTTTAACATAGATGTCAATTGAATAGAGGATATTATTACAGAAAAAAAGCACCAATAATTATACTCTATGTATACAGATATGCAGGTGAGTATCATCAAAGGAGGAAGAATCAACAAATAAATCTTGTTAGAACAATCTTGAGTGGGACTTATAATATGAAACTTTTCGTTCTGCTCATAAACCATCTTTAAGAGACTACTAATCTTTTTTATGTCTTAATTTGCTTATGTACAACTGTAATGGTAGTGTACCTCGTCATTAATTACACTGATAGATAGTTCTTCTAGAAATCATCCAATCAACATAATTTTGAAAGATTGTGATTTCCTAACCGTACCTTCTTTCAGAGATTATTAGTTTTCGAGTTATCACGAAAGTATCCATTTATCTTCACGCAATCGGATATATATGCAGTCATAGCAAATCAGAAAAATATCTGCTTTTAATTACACATCACAAATGAAAGTTTCACGGTATATAGCAATCAAACAACTTTGCATCATCAAATGTTCAGAATATTTTCTGTTTAAAAAAATTTAATGACACTTCGAAGGAACTTATTTTTATCTGTTTTCTCCATTTTACTTCTACATGCACGCGCTCAATCTGATATAAAATAAAATTTATAAAAGTATCACACAAGATTTGGAAAACAGAGGGATCAATGCAAACGAGGTTACAAACATAGGAGACACAAAATTCTCTACTAATAATAAAAAATGCTAGTATATACGTTATAATACATGCAGATGAACAAAACAACATACACAAAGCGTATAGCAAATATAATTACAGAAACTAAAAATAGATAAGATAAGAATAATTACATCAGAATTGTTTGGTGAAAACAGAATCTTACCTGAATCTGACTTATGAACAACGGTTCGAAAAAATGAATTCTCTGGAGCTGTCTGAGCTGGTAAACAAGTTTGTTTTGTTGTTAAACTGTATACATTTTTCTTTTCATTTTTGGTATGGCCATCGGAGGATAGGGTTAAGAACTCGAGAGGCGGTGGCGGAAATTCAATTGATATTGATTCATCCGACGACTCATCATTGTCATTAGAATATGATTTTGTCTTTAATGGATAATAATGTTCAAGTTCATTGTTATCATTGACAGCTAAAAACGAATAAATTTATGCAACAACAGCACAACATGCCAAAAAAAACAAAAAACACTTCATCTCATGCAATTTCATAAAGTATGAGAGTGAGATGTAGCAGGTTGTTTATATTGGTGAGAATAATCAATATTATTGCACATAGAATCTTCGAAATTTCAGGTATTAATAAATAAAAGCAAGACAGAACAAACGAAATAGTAAGAGGCATCAAGTAAAGGATAAATTGAGTTTAATAACATGCAATTACTCAAACATGAAAAGATAAGTCTTTGTTATTATAATAGTCCAATATACGAGTCAAACCAGAATAAACTAGATGTATCTTCTTTTATCTATTTGATCATCTTTGTCTAATATAGGAAAAAATGTCTATATTCTTCAAGCGAATCCTATGACCTCTTTATACATATCATATACTTTTCTATAAAGATATTAGAACTTCAGTATTTTCTAACTTATTAAATTCATAGAGCATATAAAATTCGGTAAATATATATATATTCATGGAAAAATATGTTCGATGGTTTTTCCGTTTTTAAGTACTTGAAGAAGAACAACAAATAGAAAATAGACCCTACTTCATTAACGGAACAAACATACAAATAATGTCCTTCTCTATCGAGAGAATACTTATCATCGAACATACAGTTGTTTCACAAAAATTAATAATATTGTTGATAAGTATGATTTGGAACGTGTGTGTGCGTGTGTACACGAAAATATTACCGTTTTGATGTTGATTATTAACTGAATATCGTCGTTGTGAATTATGATGATTTGTGTTTATAGAACGACCAAAATTTGGTGGTGGACTAAATGTTGTTTGACGATGAAACGGTCTGGATGATAATGAGACTGTTGATGAGAGTGGAGTTGATGATAATAATGATAACGTATTAAATTGATCATTTATCGTTTCAGGTGATGTTAGTTTCGATCTTAATGATTCAGTAGTATCGTTTGTAAAATTTTGGGGGAGTTGATGACGATTAAATTGTTGTGCTTGAGTTTGGACAAAACTTTTTGATGTCATGTTAAAAATGTATATAAATAAACATCATACCATTAGCATAGAAAAATAAAATATACGTATACGTATGCGCCTTAGAGGAAAGAAAATTGCAACAACTATAGTTTAGTTGTGTCAGAATATATCTGTTTTGTTGTTTATCTATTCATAGTAATAATGCAAGGAAAATTATTTATCGTTGTTCGGTTTTCTGAAAGAAAGAAAAAAGAAGAGAAAAAAAGAACAAATCCATAAAGAAAGCATAGGGATTGTTGGTAAATTATATATGAATGAAGATATAATAAGAATGTTCAGTGAAATGAATATAAGACAAAAAGTAAGTTTTTATGATAAATTGTCAGATTAAATTCGCTGAAAAAAAAACCAGTGAGAATAAATGTTTCGTCAACGTTGTGATATATATGTGTATGTATTAATGACAATTCTCAGAAGTAATCTACACGAAGAGAAAAGAGAAAGACAGGATAAGAGAGAGAAATACACCTGGTTATATACATCAAAATATCAACATTCATAGTATTAGCCAATTAGAATAAAAGATAGTTAAGTGTGATTTATTGACAATCATATCTCATCATACAAAACATGTTGTACTAATAAAAAAAAGAATATTGATTATCGCCGTAGTTCTGAAATTTGTCTGTCTGTCGTTCTGAAGTGCAATGACAAGTGAAAAAGAAGAAGACAGCTTTTGTCAATTTATTTAGTAGGCCATCACTTTTCTGTGCTTCCCTTAAATTGTAGACGGATTCAATTGAATTTCTATCTTTTTTATAACAGCCAAAAAGACATTTAATTTTACAACTAGAAAAGTTATAAAAACGATTTAAAATCGTAACAAGACTAGTACGTACGATATCTAGAATTCGATGTATCAAGAAGATAATTCATATAAACGTTCAGTCGATGATTGAGTTTCATTAATCATCACTGCAGATGAACAGAAAACGATCGTGTATACAAACAGTAATGAAAGTATTTATGTTTACGATGAAGGAATAGCAGAAAAATATGAAAATAATCAATGTTTTCGGTATTTATACGCCTCATGATGATACGAAAAAAACTAATGTATTAATTGCCTGTAGATATCTGTATCTTGTTTGTCATATTAATGATGTGAACATAGATATTTATAAATGAATAACATACGGTATTGTACAACGTTTTAATCTTGACCTCTTTAAAAAAGAATCGACTATAAAAATTAGATATGTTCGATGGAGGACGTGACCGACAGAAGCTTCTTTGAATACATATATTACAAGCAAAAGTACTAAATTCAGACAAATTTATAACTAAACCAAATTATATAAAATTAGACTCTACGTTAAAACATAGATTTTACAGAAAGAAAATTTAGAGTTTAACATATCAAAATCACTAATCACAATATCCAGAGGCGATGATACGAAGTGACACCAACGAGAGAATCTTTCCAGGTATCAAACTCCGTTTTCAATGATATAAAGCCAGTTAGTAGAGAAAAATGTCCTAGTTAAAATCCAAAAGATAAATAATCTATTGAATTTTCCTTGTTTTTAACACTAGAACGCCCGTAGCGGTCATTTTGACCGTTTTGTGATTTTTATCCTTAATAAAACAAACTGCATACAATTTATTTAAAAATAAATTATATCATAACTTTTAATTTGTCCCACAAAAATTATTTTTTACAGAATTTTTAATTCATTTTTTAATTCAGAACCATTTTTAAGTATAAAATTTTAAAAAAAAACAGTAACGGTCAAAATGACCGCTTTGGGCGTTCTAGGTCATGAAAATTTCCGGGCGTTCTAGTGTTAAGGAAAATCAAGTTTTTCTAATAATTCTTTTGTTATGATTAATCGCATGAGGTGAAATAGATTAATTTTCTCGATAAAGAACGTTCCGAACTCGAGAACGAACTATAGACTATCTCATTTTCTTCGTCATATGAGACAAAGAAAAAGAAACAAACAGAACGAAACAAAAACAGATATATAGTCTAGGTCCATAGACTATAGACTGATCTTCCTTCATTCATTTTGCTACCGAGTGTAACGATAACATAACGATAGACGCACACAATATAGCTCGTATCTTGTCTAATTTTATTTCAAAACGAATATCACCCAATCAATCATCTGCACACAAACCTCAAGACGAGGAAGTAGCACAGAAATCATTTGATAATATTGATTCAATTTTAAACAGCACTTCATTTTTTTTTTCTGAGAACGATACCACACTTGATCGTAATTGAAGTGCTGAAGAAGTGGAAGAAAGTTTTGAAATAACGGGTGTACCATCATAAACTGGACTAAATGTTACTGCATTTTTTTCGTACTTCCTCTTCAAATTACAAGTTTCTTTACATACCAAAAGATAGAGAATTTCAAGCTCTACAAAACCTACTATTTGAATCTCTGACAGTATTTTTTCTCGTTTGAGCACCATTCAAAATATTGAAGAGTGCTAAGTTGTCGAACTGCGACACACTGAAAATAGAAAAACATTTGCCTTGATCCCAGAATAGATTCCATAAGATTTTTGAAAATATCAGAAGATTCACCGGAAAATTCTGCATCTTCTCATATATTTTTCGAAATTTTGCAGTTAAATCTTCTAGGAAAATTTCTCTGTGCAAAAAGCTGATAAATCTAAAAAGACCTAACTTTTGAACCTATTTTTGACAGATCTATTTTAGATTTTGGACTATAAAAGCAGTAAAACGTTTGAATCCAGGATTTTAGTCTTATTATCTTACATAACATTAAATTCTGCGTCTTTTGATATATAAACAAAGTTTCTCAATTGAAACCATTAATTAAAAAAATTAATTTAATTTGAAAAAATTGAAAAGCCGGTTGAGAACTAATTATGAGATCAGCTGACGTAGTGAAAACATTGTATAAGATTGTAAATGAGTGGGATCGATAGAGCGCAAAATTTTCTATCTTTCTACCTAGAAAAATTAACTATTGAACCTTAGGCAATGTGCTAAAAATTTAAAAAATGAGGCGACAAAAGTACGTCGCAGTTCGACAACTCAGCATTCTTCAATATTCAGAATGGTGCTCAAACGAGAAAAATGCTCTCAGAGATTCGAATAGTAGGTTTTGTAGAGCTTGAAATTCTCTATCTTTTGGTATGTAAAGGAACTTTTTATTTGAAGAGAAAGTACGAAAAAAATGCAGTAATATTTAGTCCAGTTTATTATGGCACACCCGTTAGACGAAGAAGAGGAAGAGCAGGAATCAATAAAATACGGGATGGAAAATATAAAGGTAAAAATAAAGAAAATAATTCTTTTAATCAGTTTCCATGAGAAGACATGAAAAAAGCAGTTCAATTTTACTATAAAATGGTGTAGAAAAGTAGTTTTATGAAGTGGTGTAGAAAACCACGTTGCTTTTACCATTTTTTTTATCAATATCACATACATTATTAATGGCACTCTTCTATTCAGTTATCGTCACAGCTATTACTCGTTTATTTCAGAATTATTTAATCAAGCTTTGTTTTTAAGTTTAAATGTTTGTTTAGTTATCCATGTTCAGTTATTGCCTATAGAACAGAATAAAAAAAGAAAAAGGAAAACCTTTCCAAAGTAGGAGGCCTCTACGCGACAGAAGAAAGACAACGGTCTCTTTGATGACGCGTATCAAGTGAGACCGACCAACAATCTAGTGGCGTAACCAGGAAAAAGTCGGTGAGGGTGCTCAGCACCCCCATGCGTCCCCTTGGATACGCCACTATTTGCCTTCCACTGAGAAAAAGCTCATTTGTAAAAATTTCTCGGTGGGGGTGCTCAGCATCCCCATGCATCCCCTTGGATACGCCACTACAACAATCTTACCAAAACATTACAATGATGAAGTAACTGTTATTCACATAAAGAATCAGTTAAATAAATTAAGTAAATTACAGAGAGCGAGGAGAGAGAGAAGATAGCTTGTCTACTAGAAAATATTAACAAGACCACATACAATTAATCATAACAAAAGTACAATGAGTTATTGGGAAAACTTGATTTTCCTTAAAAAAGAAAAATTCAATAGATTATTTTCTAGAGAGGCTGAAACACTGATTCTTTCCATGATATTAATAGACCATTAGAACAATCACAGAAAAAAATGTTAGCTCAAAATTCACTGCTTTTATCGAGATACAAAAATTTTAGTGTTTTTGAACCTGTTTTCCCACCGTAATAAAAAAAAGTCGTAAACTCTTGAAAGAAGTAACACGGGGACAAATCGTTCTGGAATATTTCCCTCTATCAACTGACATAATATCATTGAAAACGAAGTTTTACATCTGGAAAGGTTTCCTCGTAAGTGAGTAGAAAGCAATCTGCATAAACAGTTTGTAAAAGCATGAACGTCCTGCTATCCAAGTGCTCCCAGTCTATGCTGTTGAGTTTACATCAACAACT